CCACAATTACGGTTGCTACCTGTCTCCTCTCTCTCTTCACCCTCCCCCCTTCCCTGTCTCGCTGTCTCTCTCTCTTGCCCTCTTTCCCCATCTCTCACCCCTTCCTCCTCTCAAAACTATGGCAAAAAATTTGGTGCACCATGGATTGCACAGCACTTTAAATTCCCCAACAATAATTTGGCGTGCCACGCTTTGCACAACACTGGATTCAGCCCTCCTAGCTTTGGCCAACATCACCTCTAGTCCAGGTATGTTCCTGAGCACCCCTGGTATAAAAGGTAGCAACCCTACCCACACCAGATCAAATATCTGTCATATCACGACCTTATATACACAGCCCGTCTTCCAACATATGGCACACATTAGTCTGTAAATATAAAATCCCCTGGAAAATTGAGTGTTGGGGTACTTATTAACATTTTCAGAAGTTAGGGGGTACTTGCTACTTAAAAGGTTGAGAAACACTGAACTAAATGACCTCCTGAGGTCTCTTCCAAACCTAATTTTCTATAATTCTATGATACATAGATGCACATGCATGATGTCAGGCCATGGCCTTGAACCTAGGGTGTCAGCCTGACCAGCATACTTGCTCATCCCAGCCTGCCAACCTACAGCTGGTCACCCAGGCTGATAAAGGTTGTCCTCCAGCAGGACCCAGCACTTTTCCAACTCAATGGCACCAGCATGGCTGGTCAGAAGCAGCCAATCCTCCCCCACAAAGCTCTGACCCAGAGCAGGAAGTCTCCAAGCAACCAAGCTCAACCTGAACCCAAACTGTTTGCAATTCCCTCCAACTTGTGCTCTCTTGATTTCCCAGCTTCCTGACTCAGCTTGCTTCTAGACCCAACACTCAGACTGACCTAGCTTGTACCTGGAGTCTGCTCACACCTCCTGACCCCATCAGCACCTTGATCCCCAAGTACACCCCAGACCTGGTCACCCACCCCATGGTCTCACACGACACAAGTATGACAGACAAACTTAATGCGTAAAACACATATCAAATGTATTATGGATTTCCTAAGGTTCTTTTTAACAGGACTTCATAGACTACATGATAAGTCCACAAAGTAGTGCTGATATGGGAGAAGTGGGCAGAACAGAATAGGATGCAATTCAACAAGGACAAATGCAAAGTGCTGCACCTAGGGAGAAGGAATCACCACCACACTTACAGGCTGGGGGATGACCCTCTCAGCAGCACTGTAGCAGAAAGCAGTCTTGGAGTCATACTTGGCTCCAAGATGAACATAAGTCGTGAATGTGACAAAGTGATCAGTAAAGCTAACCACACTTTATCATGCATCAGCAGGTGCATCACAAACAGGTCCAGGGAGGTGATACTTCCCCTCTGCGGCATCGGTCAGGCCGCAGTTGGAGTACTGCGTTGTTTTGGGGGCCATACTTCAATATGGATAACCCTGAGAGGGTCCAGAGGAGGGCCATTCGTATGGTTAGGGACCTCCAGGTAAGGCCCTATGAGGAGAGAATGAAGGACCTGAATCTCTTCAGCCTCTGCAAGAGAAGGTTGAGAAGTGATCTTGTAACTGTCTACAAATTCATCAGGGGAGACTGCAAGGGATAGGAGGTGCTCTGTTTACCAGGGCACCCCTTAGAATAACTGGAAACAATGGCCACAAACTGAAGGAGAACAGATTCAGGTTAGACATCAGGAACAACTTCTTCACGGTAAGGGTTACCAGAATCTGGAATGGGCTTCCAAGGGAGGTGCAACTCTCCCCTACCTTGGGGGTCTTCAAGAGGAGACTGGACAAGCACCTGGCTGGGGTCATCTAACCCCAGAGCTCTTTCCTGCCCAGGGCAGGGAGTCAAACTCAAAGATCTGCTGAGGTCCCTTCCAACCCTAATATCTATGAAATCTATAAAATATACTATCAATCTAGATTCATAGATTCATAGATTAAGGGTCGGAAGGGACCT